TCTTTCATTTTTTGCTCTCTATTAGTGTTGGGCATTCTTTTAAGTCCCGGAATGTGTTTGGATGCTTTTCTCTACAGCGATTTGAGAGCAGCAATATCTATTTTGGAATGTGGTGAACAAAATCAAACACATTATTCTAAATGGGGCCTAACCTCCACGTTATAGAATTTTCACATTATACCCCTTGATTTGAATTAATCACTCTTACTGTATATCCTAACATTTTGCTTTATTTTTAATTTTTCCCTCAGTTTATATGATGTGTAAATGATCTGTCAGCATAAACACCCAATGTTTTTTCATATGTTGCCTCGCATAGTGCCACGAATCTCCCTCAAGCAGGCAAGCGCTCCCGCTTTCCCACGAGCACTCCCCGTGCCAAACGTGCACACGTCAATCAGTCCTCTACTTAAACCCTCACCTCTGCCCTGGTCATTGCTCACGATTGAGATTCTCTCCCGGAGCTTCCCTACGAACTACGCCTTTGCCTTTCAACGACTTCTCTCCCGGACCTCGACCCCGCTTTTCCGACTCATGCTTTCGCCGCTCGATTTAGTACAGTACCTACGCCTGTTTTACGCTCTCTCGGTTCCTGACCCCAGCCTGTCTCTTCGTTTACGCCTCCGCCTGCCGATTCCACACCGGCGCCTCTTCTACGCCTCACCGGACCCTGACCCCAGCCTGTTTACTCCGACTACGCCTACGCCTAGCGCCAACCCTACCAAGGGCACCGCATTGGATCTCCATCCTCCGCAGTCAGTCCTTGCGTGACACATAGCTTAGTATTTGCCATTTTTGTATTTATAGTTCACTCAATGCTAGACAATTGCAGTAAAACCCTGCAGTTTTTACATTAACTGTTTCCTATCAGGTGTTCATCTAGTCTTGAATTTGATATATTATTGATATATAGTATACTGAATTTAATTTGGTGCCTCTATAGTGTTTGCTGATTCATCTATTTTAGTATGTTCTACAATCTTGACTACTTTACTAACTACACCATCTAGAAAACTCATATAAATTAGGATGAGCAGTGGTCCTAGTACAGTCCCTGTGGTATTCCACTAATTACATCTCCCCTCTTTGAGCATTCACCCCATATCTGTACTCTCTCTTTTCTACTTATTAACCAATTCTCAATCCAAACACACATTTCCCTGAATGCCTACCACTTGTAAATGGAGAATTAATCTTTCATGAGGAACTTTATTAAAAGGCTTGTAAAAATATAAATACAACATATTATATGCTCAGTGTGCATCCATTACTGTTATTACTTGTTCAAAGATATCTAACAATTTGGTTAGGCAAGCTCTGCTTTTTCTATATCCATGTAGACTATTCCCTGGAAAATAATTTCCATAGAGATAATCCTCTAGTTTAGTTGTCATGTAAAGTAAGCCAGACATATTGATGTATAAGTACTTGAGTCACTTTTGTCACTTTTTTTTAGTGCACAGGCACTATAGTAGAAATTCTCCAGTTCATGTGCATTATGAACATAAGAAACATTATGAATGAGAAGAGATCATTTGGCCAGTCTAGTTTGTGTGTTAGTTAGTAGTTAATTAGTAGTTAATTAGGATGTAAATAAACAATTGGCTATAAAATGAAAGACACCACAACGTGATCAGTAGAAAAGAACTTCAATGATAAATAAAGGATTTGGGGCTAATTTTGCTCTGTCGTCGAGTCATGTAATAATGGTTACAATGACCCCAGTGAAGTGTATTTCATGCGCAGAGTTTTAGGAAAAGTAATATTCAAGTGTTAATACTGCCCTTTCATCTGTTGCTGATCGGGTGATCAAAGTCATTCAAAATGCAGATTTCCCAGTTTTGAATCTTTTTGATTACCGGGGGGATACAATATGCAGCCAACTGACAAAAGGAAGCACTTTTTTAACAAAATAGAGATGGAAGAGTCTTGAGTCAACTATCCTTAAATGTTGCTGAAGCTAGTACATGAACCCGCCTTCCCGCCAAGAAATGGCAGGATGGGATCCTCTCAGATCTATCACCTAACAAGGTTGACAGGCAGAATGACCTCTTATTCTTATTTGTAACCTTATTTATAAATCTTATGTTCTTAAAGTGCTAGACACAAATGTATTAGACAGAAACTGTATTGGTCAAATTCAATAAAGTTCAGGAATGTAACCTTACATTACTCCTGAACAGTATACCTGTCCCAGAAAAAAATATAAAAGCCAAAATGAAAAAAAATAACACTAAATTGAAAATTCACAGAAAGATAAATTCTAACATCCGTCATCATCACAACGTTATATACTGTACTGCAAGTTGGCTCAGTGCATATACTGTACAGCATGCATGCATTATCATATACAGACTGTACAGTCGTCTAATATAACAGACAAAATATACATGAAAAACAATAAATAGTTTTGTACAGTTATGTTTCGAAGGCTGTTAAAATGTCAGTTTGCTTAATTCCCACAATTCATAGCATTTTTAATTGTTTGACTTCAAGTATATATTGTGCTGTTATGTACTATAATAAATATAGGACTATTATGACAGAGATGAGTTACTGTATGTGAGTTATGTGATAACAGTCCATCATAAAACTGTGCAAAGCGTCCCTCACGAATTAAATAGCTGCTTTTTTACCAGACAAAAGATTTAAAAAGTCCCTTTCAATATATCAGTATTAGCTGTACATATCAGTATTAGCTGGGTGATATACAGTACATAACGATATACAGTACGTGGGTTCCTGAAACCCACAAGTAAAACGTGGAGAGAAAGTGAGCTGTGATTTAATGTAAAGCCTTCTGTAAAGCCTACTTTTGTGCGGAGGTATGTGTGAGTAGAAATGAAAATTACTGATAACAGGCAATAACAAGATAAGGCAGTAAAAACAGTTAGCAGTACAGCATAATTACCGAAAAGCTGATTAGTTGTTACAAGGCATGGAGCAAATTATAAAAAAACACACATCGGTAACGTGTAGTTAGGGGAAATGACACAATATATCACAAAAAGCATTTTTATACTGTATTCAGAAACCGTTGAATGGCTCAGAAATATTATAGTAGTTTATCTGTGTAACGCGAGTTAAATTCTTAACAGAGATGTACCTGTACATCTCCTTTATTGTCTGGTTAAACAGAGATGCTACAGTAGCTGTTGAGCTATACTGTAGTAGAGCTTCACTCGTCTGTAAAATAATGTGAGTGCCACTGGACTGTTTTCTAAAAAGGATGTTTGTTCAACATTAGAGAGTACTAAATGTTATTGATCTTCGGCTTTTCCTTTTTTTAAAAAAAAAAGTATTTAATCCTATTTTTTCCCTTCCCCCCTTCACTCTGCCAGTGAAAAATTATACTATTTACAGTACATATTTACATATGTAATTAATTCGTGTTTAATATGTTTTCTTTTTTCGTATTATATCTGTAAATTATTATTAAGGAGTCGGTAATTCTATTATTAGACAGGTGTATTTCTCATAAACCACGAGATCATCTCAGAATAGCTCGTACCTTTATTTTGTATGAGAGCACAAACTGCAGTCTTTTATTATGTGTGTGAGTACAGAGGTAAAAAGTAAGTTTTTGATTACCAGTTGAACTATTGCGAGAGAAGTGGTGCCTCATAAACGCCTCTAGTAAATTC